TTTCATTTCTGGATATAAAATGTGCATAAATATAAGTAGCTGTTGAGATGTGAAACTTGGTAAAATCATGTATTGGTAAAATATTTTTATAAGTCCTTAGGTAGAAAACAGAATTGAAGAGCATTTAAAGTTTTATAGCGAAGAGCTTAACTCTTAGAATTAATGAAATATAGTAACTGCACATAGGAGACTCTGAAGTACATAAACATCACTCTCTTGAATAATCTTTAGTAGGGCAAGTAACTACCTTCCAGAGCACTTAGAACAGCATCAGTATTCATTCATTATCCTCTCTTGACTGCCCCAGGGTATACAGTACTCATCCAGTGAAGAAGCTCTAATGTTTGCTCCATGCTGTTACATTGATTACAATGAGTCTGACTTGGAAAGTGTGCCACTGAGTATAAAATTTTAAAAAAAGATTTTCAAGGGTTAATTAACACTGCCCTGAAATGCAGATTTTTTAAAACAGCAATAAATATACATGTAAACCAGAAATAATTAGAATGGGTTAGGTAAAAAAGTTGTCACTAAATATGATTCATATAAATTTTACAATTGTATTAGGATAGCTACAATCCACCCATATATATATATATATATTTGCTAGAGACAGTTTAAAAAAGGACAAATACTTTGGTTCAAAAATTAATTTAAAAAATATAAATATAATGGATGTTTATTTTACAATATAATTTTTGAGCTAGCACAAATACTGGACATCAATCAGTCCAATCACCATCTTACAGACAAAGAAATGAAGGCCCAAGAGTGAAGTTAATTCCCAGAATCATAGACTGAATTAGAAGCAGAGCCAGGATAAGAAATTCTGTCTGTTGACTCCTAGTTCATTAAACATATTTTAAACAAAAGTTTTCCAAACTAGAGCTTTTGTCTAATATTTAGTATTCTATGCATATTAGGATTCAATAAGAAATCAGACATTGGTCAATCCATTGCTAAGATCAAAATTTCTTGCAATAAATTTAATATAAGATTGAAAATTCAACAAAATTAAATAATATTTAAAAGTCTATATTTTCCAACATGTACAATAAAACACTGACATAATTTTAATTTTAAACTAAAGATATATACCTCGTTTGGGAGAAAATGAAAATATCTTTATTTCTATAATTCTAAGCAGACTAATGCTTTAATGTTTAGAATTAGTTTAGCGATGCAAAATTCAACTACTATGTTAAAAATGTTTTTTTTCCTACAGAGATAGTCAGAGATAGATTGTTGTGCTGATCTGACATTCACTTTAAGAGGTAATCTGTTAAAAATAATTTGCTATTCAAATTCTGTTATATGTTGTATTATTGAAAATAAATTTTATCACATCTGTCAGAACTTAGTAGGAACAAACTACTCCATCATAGTACAAAGAAAAAACATAATGTTCTCTAGAAACAATTTATGAAAAAGTCAGATCCATATTTCATATGTGCCACAAAAGCTCATCAGAGTAATAACCCTCCTTCTCCTGGGTGTTATCCTACCATCTGCTGCTCTATTACTTATCTTTATTTTGCAACTAATTAACAGCATAATCTTCTAAATTCAGCAAGTTAATTATCATTATTGTGGTCTTTGCAGCATCATCAGTCCTCATGAAGTCCTGTCTCCCCTACCCCCAGAGAACATATGAAAATGAAGTAGGTTGGGAGAGAGTCTGCTTCTTTGGAGCAGGCTCATTAGGTGTTTGCTGATTAGCTTGGCATGCAGAGGCAGGTCAGAAGAATTCTGCTGAACATGAGGTTCCATGCAGGGCCTCACTAAGTTAATGTACGTTTCTGAACATTTGCCAAGATGCCCTCTGTCAGCTCTCAGTAGAAACCCCCTGCAGAAAGCCTACTGGCTACCCACTGTGTTTAAAGATATTTCTCAGTTTGTCACACAAGTCTTAAAGGAATGATTCTGGAGAATACCACTTAGGTAGCTTACCACATCTTAAACAAAACTCCTAGATGATTAACATTCAGAAGACTTACTTTTTTATTACAAATATTACATAAGAAAATTGTTCTATCAGAAGGGTAACAAAAATAGCAAATATCTATGGTTTATGTGTTTAATGACAAACAAAATCCCTATACCTAAATTTGGTAAGATAGAGTGCAATTTTGTAGACAATAGGTCCTATAAATTTTTGTGTAGTTTAAAAAAGTACTAGATAATCTTATATCTGTGGCCCCCAACCTACATTTTTTTTTACCACTCTTACTTCTCCAAAGTTTTATTTTAGAGTCCTTAAAATAAATTTTAAAAAGCGCTTGCTCTGAAGAAATTGCTTTAGTAGAAAAGGAGGATCTCATGTCAATATTTATAGTGGACACAAACACAATGCATAATATCTTCCTATGTTTCTGAAAATCAGGGCCCCACAAAAGCATCCGTAACTACCTTAGAATATAAATACTCTTCTCTTCACCTACATGGGCTACTCATTTTACGTGTTCCAATGCTGCTTTTTCTCTTACATTATTTTTAAGCCACAGGTCATTTTAGTAGAATCAGCACTGCTACAGTATTTAGCATGTCATTCACAGATTGTGACCACAAAGGTCAAATGAATCCTAAAGAGACATGCAGAACCAAACAGAGAGGATGTTCTACGTATTTTCAGAGATCTGAAAAAAACAACAAAGCAAAATCCAACTGAAGTACTGAAAGAAGAAATTATAAGTTTTATTAGGGGGCTGGAGACTGGTTAACAGTCAGAAAAATTAATTATGAAATGTATAGGAGAAGTGACTGGGAACCACTCATTTGGAAAGCATGGATTTGGAGTTCTATCACTGATGGAGGAAAGAATCAAGTCCCATGACCACTTATCTGGTCATTGAGAACTTTCGAAATTTCTGTGTACTGGGATATGAACCTAGTTTCGATTTTCTTCAGTTGGGATGATCATTTCTTCATTTGGTAAGTCTTTTTAGTTTTAGCTCTCTGAAGCTTAAAAAAATAAATCTATGACACAAACATTTTAATTCAAATTTAGAAATAATCTGTACCTATTTGGTATTTTATGTTCTAAAAGTACCTAAAATAACAGAGTATCCTTGGATTTCAATTTAAAATGGTTAAGAGATTGATTTATTCCTGTGATTTTAGTTAAAGAGCTAAAATAATCTTATTAAGCCTCTAAATCAATCATACAAGAATATTTTTAAAACCATGCCTCTTTGGTTATTATATGGATATTTGCATAATCCATGGACAAGACAATAACGTGGTGAAGTGGGGGTGGGGGAGGTAGGAACTGGGTGGAGGCAAGCAATGGGGAACATCTGTAATACTCTCAACAATAAAGATTAAAAAAAATAAAAACCATGCCTTATTATATCTGTTAAGTTTAATTAAATTTAAAGGTTATTAAGTACTTGGAAAAGTTTGTTAGACAACTGAGGTACCCATAGAGAAAATGGGATATATTAAGTTATAAAGTTTAATAAAGATGTTTAACATTATGTTTTAAGCTCTTTAAAAGTGATAATTACATAATTAGATTTGTAAATTGGTCTTGAGAACTTACAAAAGAACTAAATTTTAAACTTTAATAAATCTAGTATTATTTTTTAAAAGTAGCCCCTGAAAAAATAATTTTTGTGCACAAAAGTCACCATCAAGGGAATAAAAAAATCGAAAACAAAAAACATCTAATTGATATGATAAAATCCTGTCAGTACCTGTTGAAAAACATAATGGCCTTCTTAAAGGTAAGAAGGTAAGACTTTTTTTTAAAATAGGTTTTTCTTTTCAGAGAGAGAGGAAAGGAAAGGGAGAGAAATATCGAGGTGAGAGAGAAACATTGATTGGCTGCCTCCTGCATGCCCCCTAATGGGGATTGAACCTGCTATCCAGGCATGCGCCCTGAGCATGAATTGAACTGGCGACCTTTTGGTGCATTGGACAATGCTCAACCAACTGATCCACACAGGCCAGGGCAGGTAAGACTTTCTTGACTCTCTTGATGATCACAGACAACATTTGCATAAATAAGTAAATAAATGAATAAATAAATAATCTCACAATGTCAGATTACATCTGAATTTCTTGATATGCAAGAAATATTTGTTAAATAAATAACAATCAACAGAAATAACTGTTAAATGAGACTGAAGCAAAATATATAAACATGAATTTATAAAAACAAACTATTTCTGGTTAATCCCTAAGGTTGGTAGATTCATTTGTCCTAACCATATGTAAGTATAGCTGATGTCGATGATAATGACATACAAGCACTAAAAATTCTTAAACAGATACTGAATAATGTTTATTCTATGTTACTAAGACAGGGTAAACAGACTAATAATATTTGGTAAAAGTATCAACTCAATAGTGAAGTGTGAAATAAAATAATTTCTGTATAATAAAATAAACGCAATCAGAATTCCTTTAGCATTCCAGGCAATTGATATTTTATTACCAGTTCATGTTACCTGAACAGCATGGCAACATCTATTGTTTTCACAAACTAACCAGAGAGCTATGATATATTAGAAAATGGAAACAAAGGACAAATATATCAAAGTTGGTATGTTACCAAACCACAGTAATTAAAATATAAATAAATAAAACATAAAAGAGAAAAGCTTCAAAATATTTGGAAATTATAAAATATACTTCTTTTTACTTAATCTAAATTTTATTTATAAAACAACTAGAGGCCTAATGCACGAAATTCGTGCACTGGTAGTGTCCCTAGGCCTGGCTGGCGATCAGGGCCGATCAGGTTTCCCCGCCTCCCTGCCTCCTCCTTCCCTCACCACCTGTGCCACCACCACACAGTTTCCCCCGCCTCCCCACCTCCTCCTTTCTTCACTCCCTCAACACCCCACTGCCACCGCTGGTCGCCCGCCATGTTCCGTGCCGCCTCCTGGTGGTCAGCACACGTCATAGCGAGCAATTGAACTTGGTTCTCTCAGTTGAACTCCCAAGGAGACACTTTGCATATTAGCCATATATATCACCTATTACAGTTATGAAGATTGAGATAATAGCCAGATAAGATCAACTGAGATAATTATCCAGAGGAAGTTATAAGCCAAATAGGTACCTGAGCTTCAAGGGTAGGTAACAAATATTTCCTTCTAAATAATTATTGTTGTTTGTGAAAATAAAGTCTTGCTTCTCATTCTGCTTCCAATTCCACTTATTCTAATATAGACAAGGAGCGCTATGAAAATGAAAGAGACCTGAGATCCAAAAGCAGATGCTCGCTGATATTGTCAAGAAGCTACCAGTTTACACAAGAACTAGGAGTGGAGGTCAGTTCATCCAAAATTAACTAGAGAGGCAGATCAGCAAGTATCTCAGGAAGTCTGTCATGTATATCCTCAGGCTAGTCCGTTTTCTCCCTGTCTTTTGAAAAACACTATGGAGTCTTTCTCAAAATTTTATTATAAAAAATGTTACACATTTTTTATATACCCAAGATGGAAAAATCATACAATAAACATCTGCATACCCACCACTACAACCTACTGACATTTTACTATATTGCTTTATCACACACTGTTCACAAACCTATCTCTCTATCCATCATTCATAAAGCCAACTTATTTTTTGGTGCATTTTAAGTAAGTGGCAAATGTACATATTCAACTAAATATTTACATTATTTTGAGGCTGAAATATAGATAAAAAACATGAATAAATTGTTAGTGTACCATTCAGTGTTTCCACAAATGTACACACTTGTGTAATCAAAACGATACCCCAGAACCTTCTCTCATGTTCCTTCCCACTATTCTAATATTCTTTCATCATAGATTAGTTTTACCTGCTCTAGAATTTATATAAATGGATTTATTAAAAATATTGAAATAGAAAAAAAAGGAGATAAATAATTCTGAAATATCTTATTAGAAAAAGGGCTTAAATATAAATCTAGTTGATTAGATAAATACATCTTATACAGGACTATTAAATTCTTTAAAACTTAAAAAAAGAAATGCAGATTGTTTGAGATTTCAAGAGAAGCCAGAAATCTAGATTTTCATGTGGAAATAGTTAAAAATTAGTAACAAATGAAAAGTTTTCACACACAGAGATCAAACAAAATATAACTTTGAACCCAATACGTCCAATATACCTCTAGTTTGTAACCACTGTTCTATCACATCGTTCTGTTTTCTACTGCCAGAAATTATATAATTTCCTGTCTGTCTCCTTTTCACCACATATCAGTATGCCTGGAGATTAAAAAAATAATTATAATCACCATATGGCATTAATGCTCTAACAAAATTAATAGCAAGTCCTTAATATCATCTAATACCCAGGTCATATTAAAATTTCCCCAACTGTCATATGGGACCTTAATAAATATCTGTTAAATAAGTAAATGATAAATAAAGATAAATAACTAAAAGTATACTTCCCAAAGTTTTGAAACAATTTTCTTTGTAGTAACATTAGAGTGATTTTGTCAAAAGAGCCTTACTCTTCAAATTTTAAAAAGCAAGTAATTGGTTCAGCTAGTATCGTTCTTGTCATACAGATAAAAACAGTAAAACTCCACAGTGGATATTTACCCAAGAAAAGACATCTTTCTCCACAAATACTTGTACAAGAATGTTCATAGCAGATTAGCTCATAATATCTAAACACCAAAAACAACCCAAATGTTCATCAACAGGTGAGTGGGTAAACAAACTATGATCTGTTTATACAATGAAATATTACTCAGCAATAAAGGGAATGAAATATACAACAATCAGTAAGTCTCAAAAGCACTATGCTGAACACAAGACAGACACAACAGTAAATACTGTGAAAATCTATCTATACAGTTCACTTTTAAATATCCCATAGCTCAAAGAAGAAATCACAAGGGAAATTAGAAAATGAATAATTAAAATATGGAGTATCAAATTTGTGTGTAGAGAAAAAAATAGTTTTAAATGCGTATATTAAAAGGTAAAAAGATTTAAAGCAATAATCTAAGTTTCTACTTTAAGAAGCTAATAAAAGATAAGCAAACTAAACCCAATTAAGTAGGTGAAAGGAAATATTAAAAATAACAGTAGCAAACAATAAGTACAAATAGCGCAGCTGGTATGGCTCAGTGGTTGAGCATACAGGAGGTCACAGTTAGATTCCCAGTCAGGGCACATGCCCAGGTTGTGGGCTCAATCCCCTGAGGGGTGTACAGGAGGCAGTCAATCAACGATTCTCTGTCATTGATGTTTTTCTATCTCTCTCTCCCTCTCTTCCTCTCTGAAATCAATAAAAATATATTTACAAAAATAACAGTACAAATATACTAAGAAAAGGCAAGCTACAGACTAAGAATATATTTGTAAAAATTTTGTCTTTAGTATATATAGAAAGAATTCATATAACACAATAAAAGACAAGTAACCCAATTTAAAAATGGGCAAAATATATCACAAAAAAGTCTAGTCAAACTGGAAATGCAAATAAAAACCACAAGATTCTGCTATACGATCATAGAATGTCTACAAGAAAAATGGTAACAAAACCAAATGTTGGAAAAATGTGGGAACAACTGGAATTCCCATACATTGCTTGTGGGAATGTAAACCTCTGGAAAAAGCTCTGGCAATTTCTCATAAAGTTAAATGAATACCTGTCTACTCTTTGGTAGATAGACCAAATGAAAATATACATCCACAAAAAGTTATATAAAAATGTGCATAGTTGTTTTAGTCACAGTAGCTAAACACTAAAAGTCATGCAAGTGCCCATCAACAAGAGAATGGATAAAAAATTGTGGTATATTCTATTCATACAATGGATACTAACTTAGCAATAAAAAGAAGCAAACTGTGATACACTCAACGTGGATAAATCTCACAGACGCATGCTGAGGTGGACACAATATATATTGATTCCATTTACATGAAGTTCTAGAACTAATTGTTGGTGACAAATATCAGAACAGTTGGGGGAGGTGAACTGATTGGGAAGGAAAATAAACTTTATGGGTAGAGGTTAATGTTCTATACCATAATAAGGATGTTACATGAATGTACTTATCAAAACTGTACAGTTAAAACTGGTTCATTCCATTGTATGTAAATTTTACATTGAAAAAGCCTATTAAAAATAATTGAATGGGAGTAGGGAGTGGTCTCTGGTATAGATAAAATACAAATAGTAGTTATACTGCTAATAATTGAAGGTGGGTGATGGGTATGTGGGGATTCATTATATTATCCTGTTTACTTTGTCTATGTTTGAAATTTTCCATAATGAAAAGTTTCAAAAAGGAAAGACTAATTTCTGAGTCTTTTTATTTAATTACAAAAGGACCAACATCTATTATCCCAATTAAAATAGGCAATCATCTAAATATAGCTATTTCACATTAGCACATTTCTAATAAGAAATATTTGGATCATTAAATTTGAGTGGGCCAACCTGTGACTCCCCATGCTATTTTGGGGGCCTTCATCAATGACTGTTTTCCATATATAAATCTGTGAATGTTACAGCTTTGGTATTTTTTAATATACAAGCATACAAAACGCTTTTATTCTTATTAATTTAATTTCCTGGTGACTTAATAGAGAAAGTTATTTAGGGAAGTGCTAAATTTAATAGTTTCTACAAATATGGCCTACTCTTGTAAGTCAAGAGTTTTTTTTTAATTTGATTTGTTCCGTTTGAATTAATTTGTAAGAAAGGAAGCCCACTGAATATGTAAAAATATTTTTAGATGCAATGCACAATATGATCTCTTTAGCTCCCATTTCTATTCTCAGTTCTCACTAATAAATTCTTTATTAGTACGATATGTTTAAAGTAAAAATTGTAAATAAAAAACATTCCCAGTGAAGCTCTTTGGCTATCAAGTAAATATATATCTTAGTATTTCCGAAGTTTTGACCTAAACATACTGTTATGTGACACATTTCCCTCTCAGATTTTCAAGTTTTCTCACCACCAACAACTAGCTAATTTTTGCACTCCTCAATCACCTATTTAGTTCATTTAGATGGTGTGTAAGTTTTATTGTTTAAAAAAGTTATCACGTGACAATTTCAGATTGATTATTTTCACTAATGGAGATTAGCAATAAAAAATTTAAAGCCTTGCAATATAGAATAGTTTTATGTGTATAAATTTGTATAGTTAATATAGTGACTAACACTGAAGTGAAGCAAATAACAGGTGCCTAGTAACTATCTATTGACAAGATGCCTGATGTACGAAATTCGTGCAAGGGGCTCGGCCCTCGCAGCTTCGGCTGGCCCTCGCAGCCTTGGCTTCGTCTGGAAGGTCATTCAGCTATTTGGTCTAATTAGCATATTAGCTCTTTATATAGGATTTCCTAATGATACATTCATTAATTGCTGTTAAGAAGAAACTGCCCTGAAGTATTTTAGACTGTAAAAGGGAGAATCACACTGATTTAAAAAAGAAGATGGTGACAATGCATAGAAGAGGCACTGTATTGTATAGCATTTTGGAAAACCAGCCTAGCTGCTGGCTACCCTGCAAGCTGATAGTGGAGGGAAAGGAAAGGCACTCCATTCTTATTCTGGAATCATGGCATAATGCAAAGGTGAGTGGTGTATATTCTATTCCCTTATCTGTTGGCTTATGGGCCCTGTAAGGTCTCTTCCTGAAGCTGTGATGGAAATCCACACTTTCTTTGTGCAAGCTCAAAAAAAACTGCTGTCTTCACACTCACCCCACAAACCACAGAGTCAGTTTACCATGGTCCTGAAGCCCAGGGTTAGGGAACTGGGCAGCTAATAAAATAGACCACACACTGAGTTAGCTCAGTGATGTCACTGAGCACACCTAATTGCAGAATAATCCCAAAAAATATTCTTGGGAATATCATCTGAAAGAGCATCATGAATTGATATACATTTAATACTTTCTTAAGTCTTACTACCCTTTGCTTCAAAGGTTCACAACTTAAGTGAGAAGAGGAAACATTTGTTTTCTGCAAAGCCATGATTCAAAATTCTGGCTTTGTTATCCTTCAGGGATTATGACAAAGCCTCTTAGGGAATTCATTTATATATAATATAAAGTAGGATTTAAAGTCATTTTAAGTAAAGACATTAGATGGAATTTAAGACATATGAAGGGTAGAATTTTAAAAAAGGGCAACAACTGCAGGTCTTCTAGCAAGAACACTAGCAAATTTATAGGATATGGGGCTAAGAGAAACCCCAGAAATCTAAGTTTAATCTGTTTGTTTTACAGATGAGGAAACTGAGTCCAGAAAAATTAAAGTGGCCTGGTTAATGGTAATGAATAGCAGGGTTAGGATTAAAATGAAGACACATGTCTCCTGACTCCTAATCTGCCGTTCCTTCCTTAAACAACAATAATTTCTCAGTATCTGAAACACAGCTCAAAAATATGGTTTTCCTTTATATATTACGTGCAATGGTGACTAATTGTGTACTATTTCAAAATTACTGTCAATACTGTTCTACAAATGTATATCACTGTTTAAAACCACTTATCAGCACTGCGTTCAGATGATTAGACCTAGTTTCAGCTGTTAATATTCATAGCCTCCACCAGGAGGACAGTTTGCTTAAAAAAATACAGGCAGAAACCAGACAAGAAAAAAAAATCTCAAAATCAGCTCAAGAAATGGACAGAACAAGTAAAATATTGTTTACCATTTTTGCTTCTGACTGTACTGGTTGAGGAGAAGAAGGACCTGGAATTCCTGGAACACTAGGCACCATGGTGACTGGTCGAACAAGCTATGAAAAAGATGTTAAAAATAATTGCTAGAAAATATATTAAAAATGAGATTTGTACTTTATTTGCACAATGGCTGCTATAATAATTTGAGATTTCAAATCAGAAACTATATCTAAATCCTTATTGATCTTACATCCTGATTTACTTTCAAAAGTTAGCAATTTCTAAGACATTTGCTTTGCTAATCTTCATTCAACTTTCACAATTTTTTAAAATCATTCCTTCTTATAGAAACTCACAGCATTCAAAGTGATTGATGCAAAACTTCTCACATATCTGTCACACTTACATTCTGAGGTGAAAGAAAATGTCAAAACTTGTGACAAATAGGCATGAAAAAGAATTTCAACACTGAATTGTGCTTTTCTAAAATATATAAAAATAGCCTAATATACTAATATACTGCATGATATAAAAAAAGAATCTAATAACCTCTAATTTCTCTAATAACCTAGAACAGATTTTTCCATTTTGTTTTTTGCCTTTTGTTTTTGAGCTAGTATCAACACTGAGTGATTAGCTATTGTGTAACTAAAGTATACCTCTTTTTCATTTCAGTTTCTTTCATCAGTTATATTTCATAGGATAACACATAATCTCAAATGCAGGGCAAGAATGTTTCCCCTTCAAAAATATCCTCAGAAAAGAGGAAGTAGTCACCTTATATTTAGTCTTTATAAAGTCTCTCAAATAATGAATTTGAAGAGCAAAGTTCTATTTGAAGAGCACATACATAATCAAGATGATTTCAATCAATGCTAATCCTGGATACTTTAAAATAGCACTTAGAAGAATTAATTAATGAAAATAAATATTTAACATTAATTTCAGTAATATTATGGGGAATATTCTCACCAAAAGTGTTGGATGTTACTATAAGTAAACTTTTAAAAAA